GGGAGGGGGGGGGGGGTGAGTTTAGGGTTTGGGGTTATAATCAAGCCTTGTTAAGCTTGTCATAGTTGTTCAAGTGTGATCTGGTTTCAGCAAGCTCATATTACTTCCACTTCTCTGAGCAAAACTTGATCTTGTGCATGTAGATCTTCAGCGTAATCATGGATTAAAGTCGGAGAAATCCCCCTTGCTGGCAGCTGCTATCAAATTAGCACTGTTCGGTGAGGGAAACACTGTCCTTGTGTTTTTCTCTGAGAAAATTTATAATAGTATGTTTTATATTTTCAGAAGAACTTGCACTAAAATATTTTTAATGTCTGTTTTGACCTGTACGTGTCATTTTGTTGACATAGATTTATTTTTTTCTATTGAGTTTTTTTGGTGGCTTTGTAACAAGTTTGGAAGGCAGTGCTATATATCATGTTCTTGTAAATCACTAACAGTATAGTGTGGAAGTTTCTTGATAGTTTTGCTTCAGTTCAATAATGGAGTTGCAACACAAAAGCTTTAGACCTCTTGATAAACTTGGTCAAGATTCATAAGATGAATCTCAAAAAGGAATTGGAGAGATGTGGTATTGTTTGGAATATCATGTATTTTATTATTTTTTCTGTTTAGGAACAGCTTCTGAAGATGGTAAGAAAATATTTTGTTAGAATAGCTACTATTCTCAGCTTCATATTTTCATTGATACAAATTAAGCTTTAAAAGTAGAATGTGGTCTTTCTGGGGCTTTGTGGAGGTTCATAACATCAGTAAGCTTATGCATCTAATACTTGGTTGTCATGTAGTATTTTTGAAATTCTTTTGCTTTTATTTTAATTCTCAAGTACTCATCTGCAGTAGAAGTGTCATTGCTTAACATTTTTAGTGTGAAAATATAGGAGCTTTATAATTTTGCATTTGTTTTTTAAAGCAAATCTTGTCACAGAATATTTCATCAAATGTGTTCATGCTCTGGGAAGCAGGTGCTGCTATTACTTATCTCTCTGAGACTTGGGAATTCATTTTCAATATGCTATTAACATTTAAACCTGTCATTAGTGAATGGATGTAGAGACTCCAAGTGAGTTAACAGTTCATTTGCCTCTCAAATACAAACTGGTTTTTTACTTTGATAAAATTGAACCAGGTTCCAAGCAATTATTTAACATAATACCGAAATAGTGGCACTCTGTATTCCTAAGTTTTTGGGCCAAATTCTGAACGCAGTTACATGCCTTGCAGTCTCACAGAACTCGGTGGGAAAACATTGCCATTGCACGGGGATAACTAGTAGAGTTTGGACTAGTTAATCTAACCGTTCTTGCTAGCATATTGTTTTCTAATAGTTTAGTGAATAACCTCCTTTATCCTGATTCTCTTCTTATAGACTCTCATCTATGGCTATTCCCTCTACTTGGATGAATAATATTAACTTGGTTGGTCTCCAAATTCTGCTGTGGAAAGCCTAAAGAGGCTAGAACTAAATAACAGTCTGTGTACCTAATTCTTCTGGGTCAAATATTGACTCTACATGTCTAGAAAATATTTTAATTATGCTGGTTTTAAAAGTGGATTACTTGTTGAGCTAGATCCACCCTGTACAAGCTTTTTGGGGTTTGTTCTTGCAACTTACAAGAATTACGGTTAGCATGGTTTTGGGGTTTATTCCATTTTTCTGTTGTTTGAGAGGTTGGTTTAGGAAGTGTATTACACAACTCTACTATTTTATGAATAATCTTTCAGTTACCTAGAATTCATCCAACTGGGGTCTTCCTTTCTTTTGTAATTTCATTGTATACTCTGGATGTTATAAGGAACATGGCTAATACTGCAGAAAGATATGACCCAAAACCAAGATGGTTTGGCGTTCTAGAGACAAGTCAAATCTATTGTTTTGGTTGTAGCTGCTCGCTTTAATCTGTCTCTTCCTCAGCTCTTCTGTCTGTTGAGGAGAGTAGTATTTCCTTATGTCACTGAGAAGTATTTAGTGTACTTAGTCTTTGCGAAATGCGTAAAAGGCTTGGGAAATCCTGTAGAAGTCTATATAACTGTGGCCAGGAAAAAAGTAGAATCTTCAGTAACAGGAAAGCTAGTATTTAGATTTCTAAACAGAGGGGTAAAGTTAGGTAGAAAGGTCAGAACCCTATTCAAAAAGCAGTCAACATAATTTTTGTAGTTTTACAACAGCAAAAATAGAACTACAACCTCAAGTAATCATGAGAAGACTGTACCTGATACAGCAACATTAGCTTATGCATTGCCTATTATATTTAATAAACTTTCCTTTTTTAATATAATTAAACTATTTATGTAGGAAGCAAGAACTAGCTAGCTAGTTCAGGCTGTTCAAATGATAATGTGTAAACTGTTTACTGAAACATGTAGCATCAGAGGAGAAGTATTTTGATTCCTCAACTATTAAGTCCTTTAAGGTGTTCAAATTTCTACTAATTATCCCAAGTGAATTATCACCAATTGAGTTATGTTATGCTTCTTTTTTTATCTACAGAAACTTAAGAAAATATTAGTAAATGTTACTGATGCTTTGCTTTCTACATTACTGTGAAAAACTGATTGAATGCCATTTTTCTTTTATAGGTCGTGTACGAACAAAGCTTTCAACGCCTTCTGTTGGTATTGGAAATTCTAAAACAGATTCCAGAGGACGGAGTAGAACCAAAGTGGTGTCACAGTCTCAGCGTATGTATTTTCTGTTTGTCAGTTAATACCTGATAAAGAGGCCAAATGTTTAAGCATATATTCATTGACCAATGGCTACAGTCAAAGTTAATTTTTAAAAAAAGCTACATACTGAGTTGTTGTTCTGTGCCTTAGGTTCATCATCGCCAGACAAAAATGAAGGTATTTTTTTCAGTGTTTTGGGTCAGTGGTATTTGCATGCTTTTCTAATTCATGTTGTTTTTCTCTGGACAAAATACTAGGTTAGGTCTTAGTTTGCCAATTAAATTAGATAATTTGACAGGAAATGGAATCTACCCTTAAATTCTGTCTTCGATTATAACTTCTCAACATTCTTTTCCCCCCCTTTCTGACCTCCCCAACATGAAACACCAGTAAACTTCTGTGCCAGTTACATATGACATGCGGATGAGTAATACAGAAGAATGGGTAGGCTGAATGGTGTTCTCAGTGTGACCTGCAAAACCTAATTTTTCATTTTTCAAAAAGTCTTACTTTTCAGCCGGAAGTACGTATTTTCATTTTAAGCTAGTCTGTAGTCTAGCTCTTGGATATATACTCCTTTTTTTGTATTACCTAAAGCTGTTACCTTTACTTAACTCTTCTTTGGAGTAAAAATACTAAGCCCTAACTTTATAATCAGTTACTTAGCTTATATTGAATCAAAGGGTTAAAACAAGCAATTTACTGTATGTCAGCTAATCAACAGTAATTTTCTATGTGTGTTTAGAAACCAAAGCAAATGCAAAATTTCCTATCTAGTGAACACTCCATCAGTTAAAAAGACCTGATTCCCAACATTCGTTGGCACTGGCTGACCTACAGCAGTTTGTTCACGCATCTGATGTCTCCGACAGACATCTTCTAAGCTCTGTAGTGTTTTCAGATCCTTGTCTTTGTCCAATTAAGTGGAATGCAATGAAATTAATGAAAGGCAGACAAATTAACAATAAAATTAAAATAAGCTAACCAGTTATATAGTTTTTCAGGTGTAATGTTATAAACAGAGTAAATTATGCAGTTCTTGAATTTTCCAGTACGATTATTTAGCTATCAGTAACCCTATCCACTTTCTCTTAATAAAACCCCTTAATTCTGTGTTTAATGGCAAAAACATTTATCTTCATTATCTGCATTTATCATAAATAGAATGACTTTAGAGGTTAAAAAAGTAGGTAAAAGAGTTTCGGGGTGGTTTTATTTCCTGTTAGAGTACTTCCCATTCAGTTTTGCATTACTTCATTTTCCAACAAATACAGTTGGATCAAACCTGATCCAATGTTTGCAGATTTTGTGAAATAAAACTTTCAAAAAATCTGAACAGATAAATATAAAATAATAAAATCCAATAACAGAAGTTCTCTTAAGTCATTTTTTGCTTTGACAGTGCTCTAATCCCACAAGCGTTCATGGGATGAGAGCTTGAAAATGAAGTCTAGATATTGGCTGTGACAAAGGTTGTACAAAACTTGTTTTACATTTTCAGTGTTAAGATGACTACGCTGTATCATAAGCAAAGAATATTTGGAGTAATAATTTCAGGGGGAAGGGAGGTAACAGTGCCGTCAAATCATTTTTTCCTTTTATGAAAAGCTGTAAGCAGTATCTGTAACACTCTTTTCATTAGTACTAGGGAAGTTCTGAAATAACCTTTTTGAAAATACCTTTGTACTTTGAATAGATTTGGTAAATTCTTCAAAAGTTAAGATGTTTGATAAACTGTTTTGGGGACGGATTAAATTTAGGTAGCGATACAAGACTTTTGTGATTGTCATTGTCATATAATATTAATTAAACTGTATATTCAGGGAAACAAACTGAAGCTTTTTCAGTTGCATTTTACTAGTAATGACAATTTTTTTCCAAGAGAATTAATTTTTGCACAGTATTAATGTCTAAAGAGATAAATTGAATTGATACTGAAATAACTATATTTGTCTACGTCTAATGATGTGTGAAAATTAAATGCATTAATGCATTTTTAGAGCCTTTTATTATTACTTCTGTTCAGAACTGATGGCTTCAGATAGCTCATTATAACATGTCAGTGGGGGAGAACAAGAATTCTGAGATGTTTTAAGGAAGATAAACAGGGCAAATACAAATGAACAGGTGAAGGAGAATTGTCAGGCACTGTAGGCCAGCTATTTGGGTGATGCTTCTTTATGTGACTGAAAATTTTCACAGCATTGTGGGGAACGAGATGCTTGATGTTTCCATACACGGGATTGTTTTAGTTCCCTGGCTTATAGTGGGAAAATAGCTTCATATTAGATTTAAGCTTTTATTTTTTAAAAACCACTGTAACAGAGATGCTTTTGTAAATTTAGGGTTAAAACTATTTAGCACTTTTGTTCGAAGATCATCTTATGAAAGACTTGCAAATTTGAATGCTTTTACAAAAGATACTTTTTTAGGGTTTCAGAAGCCCTTTACTCTTCTATTTTTAAATTGTAACATAAAATAAATGCATATACAATCTATAGAGTCTCATTATTTTATTCTTATCTATGGAAAAAAATTGTTCCATTTTTTTCCTCTTCCTTCCTGTTTGGTTGTCAGGTAATTCAGCAAGGTGTGTTAAAATTACATTACAATCTTCATTCAGAGAAAACTAATTAAATTTCTGAATGGAAACAAATTCTTAATTTTATACTTCAGATTAATTTTAAAGAGGAAAACCTGAAATTCTATGCAAGTCTTTTCAGTTGTGCCATTGTGAGTTTTTTTTTTTTTGTCATCCACCGCACCTGCAGCTCAGTTCCTTTACTGTCTGTCTCAAAAAAAAATGTTTTGGCCTTGTGTGTAATTTTTGTTCAGCTGTTAAACTTCTTGAACCTGTTTGGCAATGTAATATTTTTTTAAAGTAATATGAAGGCTACAGTTTCATGTTTAATTGAAATTTAATTCTTCAGTGTTGCCCAGTTGTTGATTAGAAAGCTGAAGAATTGTAATTTGCTTGTGCAGCTTTGCTTCATCTGCTTTGTACATATAGCATCTGAGTTTAGTTCTTCAACTATGGAAGCTACTTAAAAGCACTGCTTTAGCATAACCCCCTTGTGGCTTTTTTTCCTGTGTGAAATGACTAAAGCTTTCTTATTTCCATTTGCCATCCATTTTTTAATCTGCTCTGCTCCCTCCCTCTTCATGGATTATAAACCCCTACCCTAATCCTGCCTTTACACTTGTTCAGGATCACAGTCTGCTAACCCCATTGGTGGTAAGAGTCTACAGAATTTGTGTATACATCATTGTTTGATCACCTGTTTGACATATCTCATTTAAGGACCCTATTCAGCAGAAATTCTGGCTCACTTTTTTCCATATGCTGTACTTACGTAATTGGATGTAATCCTTATTTAGATGGCAGTAGAGATGGGAGGTTTTTGTCATTTTGGAATACTGTTTTAGTAATCCATCTTTCATCAGTCAGTTCACTTAGATTTACTGCTGGTGGTAGTACTGACAACAGTATGCCAATGCTGTTATTAGCATAATATTTTCAGGATACTAAGCTTCAGTTGGTTTATTTACACTGTAGTGGTACACTTTGCAGGTCAGACAGTAGAAGGATAAATAAAGCATTAAAATGAGAGGTTGCATTTCTTCTGTATATGCTGAGAAGAGTAAGTTTTGCAGGTTTCCGACCTGTTGGAGAAAATCTAAAACTCTCTGGCACAGTGAAAAATTTTACAATATTTTCGTTGTTTTTTTAAAGAGATACAAAATATTGGAGGCTAGGAAGAAGACATAGGAATATCAGGTCTAAGTTGAAACACCCTGATATGAAGAAACTGCCAAACCCTTACTTTTTGCAGACCACAGCAATTTTATAGATTTGCCTATTCTTTTTTTGTACAGAAGTTACACTTGTTTTTTCCAGGTTGTGTAATGTCTTATTTATCATTTCTGCTGAATAGGCCCATAGTTTGGAAAAGGGATTTTGCTAAATAATCATTCAAGTTTGAATTCAAACAATGAATCTGAAAGTATATGCATGGTTCTTTTTTTTTTTTTTTTTTTTTTTTTTAAAGTTTTCTCCCTTTCACCCAGCATATGTTTTATTTTGTTTGGGATTTTCTTTCTTTTCCCATATAGTCAAGCTTTAATCAACTTGTATCTTTTTTAAATGTGCCTCATGAGAAGTAACCCATGAAAATCACTTGAGATGTTGCATGTGAAGTCTGTAGATCTGATAGCATAGCTGTGGTCATACAGTTACCTGATTATTTTTAAAAGATTAATGAAAGGTTTGTATCTGTATGTAATTAACCTTTGGTTAAAACTATGTTTTGCTTTTTATTTGGCCGGACTTCTTGAATTCTGCAGCTGTAAACAATATATTTATATCAACTGGTGGTATAAATTGGTTATAACTAGAGAAGAATGGATTATTTGTTAGGGCTTAGAACTTAAATTTTCTGTAACTGAAATATCAAAATTAGGGATCAGTGACCAGTTTCTGGTAGCGAGTACAGTGTGTTGAAATGAACACTTATATCACTTTGTAATGTACATTTTTTATTAATAAAAATATAAGACACTTAGATATGTCTCAATCAATTTTTTAGCTTGTTTAAAACTAATTGAAAATTCTCTTTGAATTTGTGGGATAGCCTCCACAGAAATGAACATGAGTATTTTAATTGACTTCAATGACATTTTATTTAACTTCTCAGAGAGCAGTGCTTGAAGACTCCATGTTTTTAAAAGCAAGGGAGAAGAGTTTAAATGTTACGAAAATTATGTTATTTATTTTAATGTTGGTGGCATTACAAGAGCTGGGATAATTATGAAATCACTAGTTTAAAGTTCCTCCCTTTAGCTTTCTAGCAGTTTGGTTTTTTTTTTTTTTTAATCTTTTAATAGAAAATGTGATTACTGAGATCATGTAGCTTAAAAAATGAACACACTGATGTTCATGTTAGGGACATTGGAACTGTTAATGAAGACTAGAAATACTATTTACGGTTTCTTGAGTGTACCTAGTGCTAAATACAATGCCAAGTGGTTCCTTGCATTGATAATTTTCTCTACCTTGTATGTAGTGCTATAAGAACTTGGACCAGGGTTTTCTATTTCACATTTTTACCTTGTAAGTTTTTCGAGACCATTTCAATCTACCACCACTTTCCTACTAACTTTAAGCATTTTTTTCTTTTTAACCGTGGTTGTTTATCTTCTATGCTGTTACTTATATTTATTCATTTTGCCTTCAGCTGGCAGTAGATCTGGGTCTCCTGGAAGAGTTTTAACAACCACCACACTTTCCACTATGAACACAGGAGTTCAGAGAGTGTTGGTGAATCCTGCAACTGCACAAAAACGAAGCAAAATCCCACGAAGTCAGGGATGCAGTAGAGAAGCTAGTCCTTCTAGATTGTCAGTAGGTAAGAATCACTGAATAACTCTTGGTTTCCTTACAGCCCTTGTTACTTAAGTGCTGGATACCTACAGCTTGCATTTAGTTATAGGTGGATGATAAAATACATATTGATAAAAATCTAAAACGTGCCTGTTTTCTGAGGCTAGTCTTTGATGTACAGGACAGTTTTAAATTTAAGCTGAAACATTAATTTTTTGCTGTCAGAATGCAGTAGTTCTTTTCCTCACCTCCCTGTCTTCCTTCTCTCTTTCACTATTCCTCACTTCTTCTCCCTACCCCCAAAATAACCAGTTCCATTGAATGAAAGTGTGATACCATTTTGAAAATATTATTTTTCTTCATTACTTTTGTGTGTCTTCTGTGTATGTATGCGTGAATGTGTATACTTCTGTGATACAAAAATGGATGTTATACTTCTTAAACCTCATGATATAACCTGATTACACTTTATTACAAAAAATATTATTTAAAAAATCAGTTGATTTTAATGACATTGCTGCTGTTCTTTGTTTTGTGTTTTGATTTTTTTTTTACTGTAGCTGTATTAACTTTATATTTTCCTTCTTTAGAAAGCTGTGGGTTTTTTCATTTGCGTTACTGTTGATTTACTTGATCTTGAGCACAAATTCTGAATCAGTACTCTGTATTTTTCATTGCTTGTGTCCTCTCCGTCCTTTTCCAGAAGTTTTTCAACCACTCTGTAAAGAGTTGGTAAATCCCCGTTTTTAGCTGTGCGAAGAAGTAATTTAATTGAATAATTTCATACACTTTAGCGTAATCCAGCACAATCAAGAAAGTGTGTGGAAACAGTTATGACTTATAATACGACCTAATCATCAGTGTCTTTTCTTAGAAATTCATCTGTGGTCTTACTGCAAAACAGAATTTCATTAAAACTGCAACTTTTCTTATGTCTTCTCCCTTCTTTGCTGCTGTTTGTCTGTACCCTGAATCATACTAGCACGAGGCAGCCGCATTCCTCGGCCTAGTGTGAGTCAGGGGTGCAGTCGGGAGGCCAGCCGTGAAAGTAGCAGGGACACAAGCCCTGTCCGCTCTTTTCCACCCCTTGGTAAGTACTCGGAGCCCCTTGTTGTGCATGGCTGTCCCTGCCCTTCATTATTTACACCTAACGAATCCGTGCCTCCTTCATTTAGCTTGTAGCCGGCCACCATGATCTTCCCTTCCTTTGGCTCACTCACCACTTACTTCAATGGAGAATTGACCAATGTGTGAATGGGTAGCACACTTGAAAAATAAACGCTATGCTAATGTTAGTCATATCTTAAATACCAAGTCTGGAAAGGAGTGTGATACGCAGTGCCTAGAGACTTTTTTTGACAGGGCAGTTCTGCTTTTGGAAAGTTTTTTGAAATGATGTGTTTCTCTCTTTATTACAGCACTCGTTGCTTGGGTGCGGTTAGATAATCCATTTCTCACTGACCAGCTAGAGCAAAGAATACAGTGTGGCTGTCATCCTCTGCCTTTCCCTGCATCCCTTAACCCAGCTAGGGTCTGCTAGTATTCAAAATTGCTCCCTAGTCAATGAATCATTTTGGTGTATAAGAAGAAAATACACTTCACTTTGTCTCCTTAGCTATACTGTCATCTCTGTATTATGTGAAAAAATAATAAAAATTTTAACTTTTTGCTATTAAAGCAGATAAATACCGTGGTGCAGATAAGGGACAAATCTACTGAAGCAGAACTGTATTCTGAGGCTGCTTTCCATTTTCTGAAAATGAACAGGGCAAGTAGCAAAGTCCTTATCCAAGTAGATGAACCAAATTACAGTTCTGGAGTTTACTTTTAATCTGTGTAGAACAAGTGATAAGTAACTAAAGCAGCAGCTGTTGTTACATAGGGAAGAAGAGAGGAATTGAAAACTTTAACATTCACACATGCATAGCCACATTCAGTCCTCATTCCTAGAGCTGCTATAAGCAAAAGTTTTGTTTTCACTTAGTATTTCAGTATACTGGCCTGACACCTAAAAGATTTTGCAAGATTGTCAAGCTGTTGTCTGTTTCTGAATGTCAATAAGGCATAGGAATGTTATCTTATAATTACTTTAACATGCTGTTGGTTAAGGATTAGGGAAGCTACTCATCTCCACATATCCTTGTTAAGGTTACTACGAAGTTGGTAGTAAATTTTGATAAAAGTCTTTTTACATGTTGGATTTTTTTTTTAATTTTTTGGTAATACAGAACTCTCTGTAAGACTGGATCTGAAAGTGATCTTTTTTGGTGTTATCTTTGAGTTAGTCTTCAGGATGTATCCCTCTTTTGTTTGTTCAAATGTAGCTTACAGTTAATGAATTTGTAATCCTAGCTGTTAAACATAGTCTGAAAATAGCAAATCTCTGGTTTCTATCTCAAACTGAGGCACCCAGCTGTACTCCTAATTGGCATTGGAAGTCTGTTGTGGTCTGTGAAGGCAGTATGCTTCCTGTCAGCCACGGTTTTATTGGAAAAGTACAGATTAATTGAATGAAAGCTGTTTCAATAACTAACGCTAATTTGCCCAGATGCTATTTAATTGGGAAATTAAATTAAAAGTAGACGTTATGCAGGATCCGTTAGTAAACTTGTATATTTTACTAAAACACAGCTGGCAGACTGTGTTGTACTACACACATATCTTCTTTTCTTTTAAAAATGAGGGTAATTTCCAGATATTTTTGTGCTGCTTTTGCTGCCTTACAGCTTGACTTCCATTGCATGTGAGATCTGATTTACATTTTATATTTGGTCAAATGCTTATTATCTTAAGAAATCTGTATTAAACTAGTACCATAACATGGTTCATTGGGACAGATGCTACTTGAGGTTTTATTTTTATTGTTGGAGTTTAATTTTTGTATATATCGAGATAACTGCCTATACCAGATACAATAGGTTGAATTGTCTGATAGCACAGAGAATGCAAAGTAGTGTGTATAGGAATCCAGTGCTGTTTAAAAAAAAAAAAAAAAAGGCAGCTACACCTGGAAAAAATGAGGTTTCCTTCTGGTATGACTTCTTATCTAAATGATTTTGAATGTCATTCAGTGTTTTTGTTGGACCAGTTTTGTCTTATGGGGATGCTATTAACTTCTATCAAAAATATTAAATTTAATGATTTTCAAAGGTACAAGTGGAAGATGAAATAAGGCAAATTCAGCTCTTTGTTTGTAGCTGGAGACCGTTTTACATGGGGTTGGAGGGGGGAATGTAATTTGTATTGCATCTGATTCTCAGCACAGAATTTTTTGCTTACAAATGCTAAGCCCTTTTGGGCATAAAATGACCCAAATGCTTCGTAATTGCTTCTCTGTATACATTGGTATGAAGTGTTTATATAATCTCACATCTCAGTATACAATTATAAACTGGGAGATAACAGCCACTCTTGAGAAGCAAGTGATTTGTAATTTATAGGAAAGTGCTTATTTTTCTCTTCATGTAGTTAATATTAGACTAGTATAATTTTGATATATGTTATTTTGAGTCCATTTAAAATCTTACTTTGATTCATCTTTCAAAAACCAAAACAACAAAAGTAAATACTTGCACAATTTCTGCAATTCGAGGGGTACAAAGAATGTTCTTGAAAATACGCTTTGGAATGAGGTATGCTTGATCCAATATAGTGCTTCCTTTTACAAACTTGTCCAGCGTATTTCAAATGTATATGGGGGCAGGATCATCTTGAATTATATGCCTGAAGTTTGAATTTTTAATTGTACCTTTAATTTTCAGGGCTTGTTGATGGAAAGCAATAGAAGGGTTTATCCTGTTATTGCTTGTATTTAAAGCTCTATCAGCCTTGATGTGTATGTTTTGACATTCTCTGTCCTGTCTCCTTTTCTATGCTGAGACATACTTTCTAAAGAACCAAGTATTCCACAAAGCATTATTTGCAAAATAAAATTCCCTAGCTAAACAGCTTCATGCAGGTTTCGTTTGAAATAAAATATATTGCTGTGCCTTATGTAAGGAGTAGAGAACTTTACGTGGGAAAAACACAGTGTTTTTTCCAGGACCTTTACAGGACTTAGGATCATTTTGGAGTTCACTCAGGTTAAGAGGTGTGCTTCCCGAAGTGTGATATGGTCCGTCTCAGAGTTATTTGATTGAAAATCAGACTCTATGTTAATCATGTCTATGTAAATCATAGTAAAGGATGATTCATTTGATTCCTGGTTTCTGTTTATACTACTTCATGTATCCAAAAGGTGTAAAATATTTGCATTTACAGTTGTTTATTAAATCATAAGATTATATCTGGGGTTTATGTCACTGTGGGTGGACATTTGAATTCAAGTTAAAATTGTCAAAACCAGTTTCATGTACATGGCTATAAAATTCTAACTTAAGTGAGCTCAAGAAAGAAGATGAATTGTTTAAAAGCACATTGAATTTAAAATTACTTGGTTTAAGGAAGAAAATACTAGCAATGGTGAGTTAACTTCTTTAGAATCTCCAAAAGACCAGGTTTATACAAGTGCCAGAAGGAGGAGGGTACTCAGTTTCATTCAGAAGTCCTTAAGGATCTTTGGTTCCCACTTCCCATAACTTTAAAGAATCTTAATGAGCTGTAGTAACTAACATAAATGTTTCAATTTCACATTTTATTTATTTAAAGAAAACAATACAGATGTAAACTATTAATTGCATTAAATTACTTTAAACTTTTAATTAAAATAGAGTAATTTTAACTTTCATCTGCGTAGTGGTGAGTTTTAACTGAGGTTGAGTTACCTGCACATAGGCAAGAACTCAAGTTTATACAGATTGTCAGCTGCTAACACAGTAAGTTCACGCAGGAGTCACTTTTTGCAGATAACGTTTGGTACGTGAGCTCTGGCTCTGACTTGAGCGCGTAGAATTGAGTTAACTCTACAATGGAAGACCGGTAGCAGTCGAACTTCTTAGATATTCCTGAGGATTGTGTGTGTGTGTGTGTGCATGTGTGTCTATGCATTTTTTTCTTTTGAACTTAAACATACTTGCTTTTAATCTTCCCTTAATCTTTTAAATTTTAAAAAAATTATGCATGACATGTCCAGTGTACATAAACCTATATAATTCTATATAATCATTTTCTATATATAATCAAACAACTTCTCTGAAGCTTTTTCCTTCTGTGTAATACTCAGTTTCTTGTGCTAAAGCTGAATCTTTTTTGATAAATACTCTCTTGTTCATCTAAGAAACTATTGCAGCACTTTGATTCCATGGTAATAGATAGGGTTTATATGATCCTGTTATTGCAGCTTCCAGACATCACTCCAGATCCACTGGTGCCCTCTACACTCCTGATGTTTATGGGGCTACAGGTGAAGGATGAGTACACTTTGCTGTCATCTGTGCAGTCATCCTGGATTTTTTTTTTTCCCCACCCACTTGGTTATTCTCATAGTTCAGTTTTTAAAAGCATTATTTATATTAATTTGAGTTTTGTGGTTTTGATAATCCAGATAGATGTGTTTATGTTGCTAGATTTCGTCTCCACTCCCACCCTCCAATGTTAATCCTTTTCTTCCTTAACAACCATTTTATTTTTACTTGCAGAAGACCTTTTTCTAGTTTTTCATTTTTCAGTATTTGTAGAGCATTCTTTATGCATGTAGTTTTCTAATCGGCACTCTCAATAGCCTTCTTATTGTATTTGCTTTCTTTTAAAATGAAAACAAAAACCCAAAATGAAGAAGACATTAATTTAAAAAAAAAAAAAAAAAAAGGTTGTTTCAGTTAAAACCATTGTTTCGTGCAGGCTTTTTTTTTTCCCCCTGTGATATTGGAGTAGAATGTTTGTATATGACTCTTTTTTTTTTTTACTCCATTTCTTATTTTTCGCTGCACCACAAAAGACTTCAGAATGAAATACACATATGATAATAATACATAATTTATTAGAAATGTTATGCAAATGCTTTTCTTCTGCTTGGGTTTTTTTAAGTGAGTGTGGTATTAATGTCCCACATTGCTATTCTGACTGAATTCTTTATATTCTTTTCTGTTGTTGTTATAGCAGGTACCGGCTTCGGAATTAGTCAGTCGAGCAGATTGTCGTCATCGGTTAGTGCTATGCGAGTTCTGAACACAGGTTCTGACGTGGAAGAGGCAGTAGCAGATGCTTTGGTAAGAATCTCGTGCTTACCTTGTGTGGGACACAGACTTTAAGTGTTTGGTACCTATACATTCAAGTATGCAAAAGAAGTTGTCATTCATTATTTTATTGGCTTCTAGGTGGGGAAAAAAGAGAAACTGAATTGCTAGAGCTGCAAAGTACTGGAATTTTTGTTCCCTACAGAAGTATTAACTTTTGAGAAACGTACCTTTTTCCATGGCAGGCAGGAAATAGTCTTGGACTGTTCTGTTGGAGTGGCCCAAGGAGCCAGTTGAGCAGGTAGCACTAAACCAGTAGTTTCCCACAACAGACAGACAAACTTCTGGGTAGGTTGAAGGCTTGTCAGAGCTGGGGATGATGACAGCTAAAGCACTCTGCTTATCATAAGCCTGGGTTCCATTTCAGGTTGTTCTCTGCCAACATCCGAGATTGATGCTTAAGAGATGAACTGATGGCTTGGCAGGCAGCATTCCATAAGTTTAGTTCTTGTTTTTATTTGTTTTCAGAATGTTACTCTGAATTTAAAACTGGTTATGCCATTCTCTTTCTTAACCTTTACTGTTCTTGAAAAGGGTGGGTTTTGCTCCTCTGCCTCCCTGCCCCAGTTAGCCAAAGTGAACTCATCATGTATTTTGCCATTCTGACATTTACATCAGCAAGCTGAAATTTTCAGTTAATTTAAAATACTGATGTTATGAGTCAGATACATTTTTATCAGGTATTGTATACTATTTGCATATCATTAAACATTTGTAAGTACCTGTTAATGTAGTTATCAGAATGCTTTAAAGAATTTGTTACTACTCTTCTTTAACAAAAAGATTATTTGGAACATAGTAAAAAAACCTACAAACGACTAAAAAAATCAATTCTAGGTAGATATGACTGGATAGAGAGAAACAAAATTTCAAAGGAAAAAATCTGAAGAACTCTGTCATGTTCTTAGTCTGGCAATTTATTGGTTAATACTGTCTTCTTGGCACATTAGTTTAAGATTTGTGTGCCTTCACTGGCATAGAGATCAGGATATCTGTGAAATCCTGCCTACGGGGTCATGGTGAGATTGAGTGGGTATTCCCCTTTCAGATACTGTAAACTTGCAAAAAGTTTTGAGTGTTGATGGGGAATGCTAGTTAGTGAACTGAAAGTCAGTGTGGATTTTGGAATAGGAAACAATAGAAAAACAGTCTGTGGAACATGAAAGTTTCTGGCTATAATTTGAAAGCCTGTGTTATAGATTTATCCACACTGGTGCTACATGAAGAGTATCTTTAGTAATTTTAGCAGCTACATAGCTTATTCAAATTTATCTGAGGAAAATTATGTAGTAAGAATATAAATTGAGGAGAAACTCCATGCTTCCAATGACTGCTCTTGAGGCTTGAATGTGTCCTGCTTTGTTGAAGTAATAAAATTTGTTCAGAGAAACTGGTTTGTATTACCTGAATCCAAAATAGTATGATGCTTCTAGAAATGTTAGAGGAAAATTAGTTTGTATATTTTAGCTAAAATCTGTCATTACAAAGAAGGCTCAAGAACAGAAATGTTTTATTGTTGTAATATTTGCATGCCTGGTTGCTTGCCATGTTCTAAATGTACAGGTTGTCCTGTACAAATGGCTGCATTTAGATGGAAATCTGGTTATGAACAACCTTCTTATTTTATCATAGACTGAAGCCCCTCCCGCTCAGAACAGTGTTTTCAAAAGGTAGAATGTGAGAGTCCTGACATATAATACAAAAATGGAAAATATTCTGGATTGTGTTAACTCTTTTTATGGTATGAAAAATACTCAGCCAGTTACAATAGTGATTAAGCCAAAGGGGTCTCAGTCTTATGGCTAAGATCTGGTTTGAATGTAAGACGCATGAAATGCAGCAATATGGCGATCTTTACATATTTTTATACCTTTTATTTTAGCACAGTCCTTGTCATTTCAGATTCTATTTCTTAAAAATTTTTTTTTCTTATGACAACCATTTTCAAAAATGCTTATGTCTTTTTGGTTTTTCCCTTCCTTTATTCTCTTATATGTGTATGTATACTTGTTCTGTTGACAGTAAGCTTGCTTGTTACCTGACGTATTGTATACTAGTATGTAGTACATATACTAGTTTGATACTACTAGATGTATACTAGTTTGTACTGCAATATTCTTTAAGTTATTCCGTAGTCAAAAATGAGAACCCTGTGCAAATGGCAATGGTAATTGAGGGCAAAACAATCACTTACACTACTGCTTCTTTGAGTATGTAATGAAACTGAATTCTTAACTACTAGCTTCAACTCCAAAATTTGGATGGCAGAGTTATTTTGCAGAGGTGTGTGTTTTTTCTTTTGGGATAAATAGTGTATTTTTTTTTCTTCTGGCCTCTGGCATGTTTTGTTTTTAGGGGATTTCGGATTTTGCATTATGTAATTAATTTTCTTGTAGGACATTGGCTGCTGTAGTAATAGTTGCAATGACAAAATTTAGATATTGAAATGAAGTTAAAGAGATGGAGAAGTTGATGGGAAAATAAAGTTTAAATGAATGTTTCATATTTAGATAGCAATTGACTGCATGTGTTAAGTCTTCATGCTCAAATATCACTGCATAAGACACAAAGATTTTGACAGAGAAGTCTTTGTGACCAACCAGCAGATGATATGTAATATTTCCCTGGAAATGGAAGCTTAGCAAACTACTTCTTGGCAATGTGTGATATGCTAATCGGATACAGAGAGCCAAGAACAAAATTTACAGTAAGACACTATGTTTTCCAGCGGCAGGTAGTTTAATAGTCACAATGCTGCTATGCCTTACCTTCCTGTTTTCAATTTCTGTTTCTTTTCAATAATTTACTGCTAACAGCTCTTAGGAGACATACGGACTAAGGTATAGAAACTATTTTCCTTCTTTAACAGTTTAATACTTTGCTATTAACATGCTTGATATAAAGTAAGTTAAAATGACAGAATGTGTGGGTTTAGACCCAATTCTTATATTCTGTAGCATATATAATGTTATTAAGTGAGATAACTAACTTTCAATACAGTCTTTATGTCACCCTATAATGCAATTTTATGGATTTTTACAAGTAAACTTTAAGTTGAACGTTTCATCAAACATATGTCTTCTCTGCATTTGCTTTGCTTTTATATTTGGAATACTATGCAAGCCATACTTAAAAATATTTTTATTAACTCAGTTTGACCTGTTGAACAGTTGGAGCCGTTTGTCACTGCAGGGTGTAGGGGTCACACTGATTATTTGAACTGTTGGTCTTTCTACTGATTATGGATCTGTATACTTTCTCTTTGAAAATCAGTACTAATGTAAGGTGTTTCTGTACAATAGAAGAAGCCTGTGCGAAGAAGATACGAGTCCTATGGGATGTACTCAGACGATGATGCCAACAGTGATGCATCAAGTGCCTGTTCGGAAAGGTCCTATAGCTCTAGGAACGGAAGCATACCAACGTATATGAGACAGACAGAAGATGTGGCTGAAGTCCTAAATCGCTGTGCCAGCTCCAACTGGTCAGAGAGAAAAGAAGGCCTTCTAGGCCTGCAAAACTTACTGAAGAACCAGAGAACTTTAAGGTAAGAAGACGTGTTAACAGAAATGTTTTATTTTGGAGTTGAAGTGAGGCAAGGGAAGTAGAAAAGGAGGCTATTGTTCTAAAGAATACGGAAAGTTGGGGAGAGGGAAAGCAGGGTGTGTGTCTGTGAGAGTAAGGTGGGGGAAGGAATGAGGAAGCTATTGTTGCTTCTGGCCACGACTGTATAGGATCTGTTTAAAAAGCTCAGTAAGAAATTGAATTTAAAATCAAGAGAATTCTTGCAATACAAAAGATTCCTAAAGTGCTTGCATCTAATAGTGATGGAAGGCTTTTATTTGTTCATCTTAAATTATTATTATTATTGTTGTTGTTGTTGT